AAGGATCCCTGTATTCTACACTTGAGAGAGCCAGATGTTAAGACAAATAAGAGGTCGTGTGCACATTGCCTTTTCTCTTTCTCGATCATGGCATTGATTCTGTTCATAACAATGATGCAATGTCGTACTCTTCCCCCACACATTTGTGTGCAGATAGAAAGAATGCAACAGCACAGAGTTGTTGGGGAATAATTTGGCATCTGAAATATGGACATACCAGCATAGATCATATTTATGACTCTGTTGGGAGTGTCACAGCAATGATTTAATAGGAGGCAGTTGTCTCCAAGGCCTCTTGAATTATGACTGGTTTTAAAATTCTTAGAACCCATTGGAGCCTATTGTTTCTGGAAGGCTACATAATTTAAGTTCTCCACATCCTGTCATTACAGGAGATGTCAGAATAGTAAAATCTAATCCTGGACTAAGGTGTTATCACAGCCCTTTGGTTTGGTGGCTTTGCAGACTTTATAAATATGCCTGTCAGTGCCTGTGGTCTCCACAGTTGGGTGTCAGCGGCGAATATCATTTCTCACATTTTGCATGGAGGGACTGGAACCCAGAAGGCATGCATTTTCCCAAGAGGCACCAGCACAGTTGGCCCAAGAGGTAGAGCAGCCCCTCCTTCAGCTCAACCTCCACTACACTGAGCCAAGCCACACTTCCTACACTGGCCTCTGTGCAGCTGTCTCTCAGCAAGAATGCAAGTCAGGGAGAAGAAGCCAGATCCCTGGGATTGTTCTAGAGAACAGAAACCTCAGAGTAGCCCTCCTTAGACCACCTAACACATCGCATCCCTGCATACATATAAGGGACTCAATGCTGGTAGGATTGGCTTAGGAATGATGTAAGTGAAAACAGTGCCTGGGTTTATCATTAGAACAAAGTTCTCAGCTGACAGTTGCTTCGGACTTTGATTTTATTCTCCTCGACCTGCCACTCCACTCAAGTCCACATCTCTCAAGATTGCACATGCCTGAAGGAGCACTGATTACAAAGCTGTAGCCTTGTCCCCAGTCTGAATCTTTCTGCATTGTTGAGAAAGCAGCTTACTTGGACTGAATCAGCAGGCCAAATTTAGAACAAAGATTTTAACTATCTCCCTTTATAAATTATTGAGCTATTTTGTAGCCAGCTACTCTTTAATATGAACAAAAAATATTATAAAACTTTGTTGTTAATCTATACAACTTTGTTGTTAAACTATAAAATCCGTAATTGTGAAATGAATTTGGATAAAGGAGATACATTTTTACCCTTTCCCAGGGTTTAGGAGAGACAAAATGGTGAGATTTTAACTGAATCAGAGGTTCTTATTAGAGGTGGTTTTGTTGCTCCTGACCCCTAGGGGACATTTAGCAATACCTGGAGGCATTGATGGTGGGCAGATGCTACTATGCCCAGAGAGACTGCTAAACATTCTACAGTGTATAAAACAGTTCCTCGTGACAAAGAATTATCCAGCCCCAAAATGTCAGTAGTGCTGAGGTTGAGAAACCCTCCTCTAAACTCTTGGGTTTATTTGCTAACCTTTACAGTGGATCAGCTTGTACTTAGTTCATGCAGAGGTGAAATTAATACTAGTGCTCAAATACGTCTTTGACTTGGCCTGGGTCCCCTGAGCAAGTCTGGGACAAGCTCCTGCCATGTGTTGAGGACCTGAATTCAGGCAACTGACAACAGTATTTGAACTGTGTTCTCAGTGGTGGGAGTGAAGGAGATGAGCCCATGTGCTAGTAAGTGCATAGGGTTGCATGAGGAAATAGAGAGTAAAGCTGCAGTGTGGAGTCCTGCTATTCAGAGTGTGCTTGGAGAACTAGCAGGGGAGGCATTATTGGGGAGCTTGATGGAAATGCTCCCCTCAGACTTGCTGATTCAAATCTTTAATTTAGCAAGATCCCCAGTGAGGCTTGTGCATGTAGAAGTTAGAGAAGCATGGGGTAAACTTTTCTTTTTTGTTTTGTTTTTACTTTGGAGGAAAATACACCTTTTTTCACATCATGGCTCTGACTCTTACTAGCTGTGTGACCTTGGCCAAGTTATAAAACCTCACTGCACCTTACTTATTTTAGCTGGAAAATGGAGATCATAATATCACCCATCCTATGAGATTGTTGTAAAGATCAAACAAGCTTATTTGTGTCAAGAACTCATATGGTAAAAGCTCAACAAACTGTCGCTAGTGATAGTAAGAAAAAGATCACAAAAGTAGAAAACATTAGGCAGACAGCTTACGTCTTAAACCTCACAGTTGTCGTCACCAAACAATACTTGTGTTTTTGCAGATCCAGTTTCTCTGAATACTAAAATAAAACTGGAATTTGATAAACTTCTATAGACAGTGGTCCTTGTCAGTAGCCCAAGTGGCACAGAGTACATGGATCTCGGGACAAGCAGCCTCTACTGCTAGGAATGTTCCATCCTCCTGGCTTGAGTTACACCTGCTCATTGTGATTCCGAATTTGAAAGGAACACAGTAGGAGGTTTCAAGACCCTGCGTAGAGGAAGGCTGTGGTAAACAGGAAGGATGAGATTAGAAGGAGTTTAGGTGAGGTAAACCCTTGTTTTACTAGTAGGATTTAAGAATATCCAGGTCAGGTGGGTGTGGTGGCTCACATCTATAATCCTAGCACTTTGGGAAGCCGAGGTGAGCAGATCACCTGAGGTCAGGAGTTCGAGATCAGTCTGGCCAACACGGCGAAACCCCGTCTCGACTAAAAATACAGAAATTAGCCAGGCATGGTGGCGCATGCCTGTAATTCCAACTACTCACTCAGGAGTCTGAGGCAGGAGAATCACTTGAACCTGGGAGGTGGAGGTTGCTGTGAGCTGAGATCGTGCCACTGCATTCCTGCCTGGGCAACAGAGCGAGATTCCATCTCAAAAAAAAACAACAACAACAACAAAAAAAAAACCGTGTGCGTGTGTGTGTGTATCCAGGTCAACCCCACCTAACCCTCAGCGGAGCTCCCCTCTGTTGCCTGGCTGGGTCCTGGGTTCTCTTGACACACACGAGATTGTGAGAGTGCATGGAAACGCTGCCCTCATTATCAGGGCGGCGCCTGCCATGCCATCCAGAACGCCAGAACACCTCATAGGACTTAGTTTTTGGAAACGAGACTCTTGCAAACCAGTGGGAGATACGCTTCCAATGTGAGGTAAAGCAGAACTTCAATCACAACTGCAGTGTCCCTCAGAATTCCAAGAGCCAAGACGGCGAAAGAATAAAAAAAAGAAAGGAAAAGGCTCAAATGAAAGACTTCAAGCTGCAGAATAAGATGAAATAAAAGGATTCAATTGAACTATATCATATTCAGTAATGACTAATCCTAAGTATACAGGTTTTGGGGTGAAGGGATTTGTTTTGTAAGTGTTTTGCAGGAAAATATTTTTTCCATCTTTGATTTTAATTAGAATAGATTTGCATTATTTTCCCTTAGTTTTTATTTTTAAAATATTTATTGCCACAAGTTTAGAAAATAGAGGGAAAACATAAATAACAGTACATGTAAACCCAGTATTTTGTCCCTTCTTTTGTTCAACAGTTATTTCTCAGGCACCTACTGAGTGCCAGCAACTGTGCTCAGTGTGGTGACCAAAACCCTGGTCAATGAGGCAGCAAGGTTCTAACCTTGTTAGAGCTTATGGTTGAGTAGCTGAAATTTTGATTTTTTTTCTGTGCCCCTAGTAAATATATGATAGCAAACAATAAGAGCTATTTTTTGGTTTATTGTGTTCTTACTCTGTGCTGGGCCCTGTTCTCAGTGGTTTTAGCCTATTAACTCAGTTTGTTTCCCAGCACTCTGAGGGGAGGCTCTGTCATTCGCACTTGACAGATTGGGAAGTGGAAGCATCAGGAGGTTAAGCAACTTGTTAAAGATCACAAAATCAGTAATGGCAGAGTCTTGATCAGAATCCCAGCAGCCTGGCTCCAGAACCTGCCCTATTAATCAACGAACTGTACTGCCTCTCATAATACGTATCAAATTGAGATGATACTTTATAATTTCAATTCTTGCTTTTCTATTGAACAGTACACAGTAACATCCACCTATAATACCTATAAACCCCCAAAAGATGTAGAATTTTAGTTTATTCATTTGTCTGATAGGATCATAATGAAATAAGACTCTATAAAGCTGTGTAATTTAGACATAGGAAACATTTGGATTGTAGTGGTATGTAGTGGGAACAAATGGTCTTCTGAATCAGGAAGAGGTGAGTTAGAGTATGCCGGTGTACCTACTTACTCACTGTGTGACCTTGGGCAAGTTTCTGAACCTTAGTTTCCTTTCCAGGCTAATATCTGCCTTCTGAACTTGTTACCAGGATTAAATGAGTCTACCTACATAAAATGCCCGGCACAGTGCCCGGCGCTTGGTAGAGGGTCTGCTAATGGTTACTGTTATTACTGCCTATTAAATACATTTTAATTTTCTTTCAGAATAGCCAGATAGCACAGTGGTTAAGAATGCACATGAAAGCCAGACTGTTGGGTTCCAGTCCTGGCTCGACTCCTTCCTAGCTATGTGACGTTAGGCAAGTTACATAAACTCCCTGTTCCTCAGTTTGCATTTCTTTAAAACTGGATAGTTATAATACCCATGACTTAGAGTTTTTTGTGAGTGTTAAATTATTGTACATAAAGCTCTGAGAACAGTTTGGTACAGAGTAGGCACTGTGTGAACGTTTTCTATAATTATCAATAATTATTAAATAACATTTTCAGAAGAAGATAAGAATATTACACCTTAAAAAGCAGGTGTCTTTAAATACTTCCTCGGCTACTGAAGTTTTGCTTACTATTTGATATATCATTTGTTTCATGTTTGTGGCTCAGACATGGCTTATGCCAATGCTTATTAACACCTGAATTTTAAATTTGGTGATATTACTATATTTTATCTGAATGAACAGAATTTGCTGATTTGGCACTATGTTTGAATGTGCATTTTTTTGTTGAAAAATGACGATTCTGGAATGCCCTTCTCCCTTTCCAGATTATTCAGAGCTGGGAGAACTTCCCCCACGATCTCCTTTAGAACCAGTTTGTGAAGATGGGCCCTTTGGGCCCCCGCCAGAGGAAAAGAAAAGGACATCTCGTGAGCTCCGAGAGCTGTGGCAAAAGGCTATTCTTCAACAGATACTGCTGCTCAGAATGGAGAAGGAAAATCAGAAGCTCCAAGGTTGGTTTGCCATCTTGATATTGAACAGGCCTGGTCTTATCTTGGCTCTGAAGTGAATCACATCAGACATAAGCATACTGTCTTAAAAATATAGCAGCATGGTAGTCTAATATACGTATCTGTCTACATCTGTTTACTTTTTCATAGTAATATTAACACTGTTTACTTTCTGGTGATCTAATGATAGTTTCAACAACTATATTCATTATTCCTCTATGGTCACTGTTAGTACAGTATCTAGAACTTCTGAGATAAAAGTTTTAAATCTAAGCTCTAAAGCGCTGAAAGGTGCTTTTTGTTTTCCCCCCTCTCTCTCTCAGTCTACTTTATCCTCAGCCATAGTCTGTACCTGTGTGTTAGGTATGAACTTTTCTTGTGTAAGTCATTAAAGTGCATAACTTCACTCTATGTGCTTTCTCAGTGAGTTGCGAGTAATCTGAAGCAGAAACATTAGCTGAATTCTACCTGTACTGACATCAATAGTGTCAAAATATGACATGAACTTTGAATGTTTAGATTTTGTTCTTTTCCTGTTTCCATACTGATACTGGAACCAATTAATATTATCTTCAAAGTAGCTTAAGATGCAAAGTTTACATACCTTTTGGAAAGAGCATGGGTCTTAGGGTATCTAGAGAATTAATTGCCCAGCTATAAAGTAGTGAAGATTTTGAGCAGAAAGTCTGCATAATCTCTTTGAAAGGGAAGATGTAACAGATGGTTCAGTCACCCTGCCATTGCCCCAGAACAATTTTGGAATTGAAGTACGTTTCATTCAGCATCATTCTTGATTGCAAATTTTGGTCTTTTAAAATGACCTTGATGCTTGTATAGAGCTGAAAGTCATTAAGACACCAAATCTGAGGAATAAGCTCCCGAGAGTGTGTTGCATTCCATGAGTTTCAGTTGCATAGCTAGTGTCACAGTGGGTGGACAGACGTTCTCTGTGCATGTCCGTATGATACTTGTGAGTTATGACAACACTGTATACCAGCAACGTAGTTTCTGCAGTTGAAAAGTATGAATTCATAGAATGTAAAGAGATAGTGTCTATATCTTTTGACTGAAAACAGAAAATGAAATATAAAGGAATAAGACCTTTCGATACGAAAGTAGCTCCACAGTTGAAATAGGCTAGTAAGCTTTCCAATATGCAGTTTTGAAGCTGAGAAAGATGGGTGCTCCCATCAGGGTGCTGTGGAAGGTGATAGCACACTGGGGGGGTGTTTAGAGCAGGTGAGTGCTGTTTTCTTCCAACCCAGTTTTTCTGCCGCTTTCTTGTGTGTTCATGAAAGTAATTCTAAAAGCAGATGTCTAAAAGATGTTTGATAGTGATGGCGTTACTACAAGTGTCATCAGTTAAATGACAGCTCGGGAGCACAGCAGTTATATTCACGTGCATCTGGGGATTTTTGTTGAAGAGGAAAAAGGCAGTTACGTTCATCACGTAGGTCATAAACTTTAATACCAATACTGGCCAATCTTCTTGCAAATGACAGCCCTGTAAAATCAGGGCATAGCTATAAAATGGGAATGGTGCTCACAGCTGGCTTCTTGGGAATGTGGTGAGGACAACTGTAATTGGTGAGGCGAAATCAGTATGCCACAAAAGCAGAATACATTCTGCTGTGCAAACAATGATCAGACAGACTAGAATGAACAGGCAAGAGTTTCCTAAGGTTACCTGGAACCCCTTGCCAGGTGTTGCATTAAGTTTACTGGCCCTTGCCAACATTCTTCTAATGCTTCCTCATTTCATCTGGCTTCTTGGCAGTGTTCAGTTTTCGTGGTCTTTTATTTTTACTGTTTGACTTCATTTCTCTTCTTAGCTCTATAATGTTTAACATGTTTTTATCTCTGTGGTGAAAACACAATAAACTTGCTTAATATAATGTTGGAAGCATTAATCCATTGTATTAGTATGTATGGTACCTGGATTGCTGATAAAAAATATCCAGCAATAAGAGCCTGATTGCTTAAAAATATTTACTAAGTTTTGTTGGGGTGGATTAGGGGCAGGGCAGAACTTTTACATTAAATATAGATGCAAGATTTGATAAGAATCAGCCAGAGTGTACAGTAAGTCTTCACTTAATGTTGCCAATAGGTTCATGGAAACTGCAAATTTAAGCAAAATGATGTATAATGAAACAAGGTTTCATTGATAAATATTTATCAATAAACCAAAAGTTTATTGATAAAAACAAGAGTTAAGTTCCTGTGGCATATTTCTCGGCACAGAAACATCACCAAACTTCTAAATAAAGACTCAGGACACTTCTAATATTAAATATTAATGTAAACATGAGATATGCAAACATTTAAGCAAGATTAATACAAATAAGATAATTATTGACTTGGCACAATGGCTCACTCCTATAATCCCAGTACTTTCGGAGGCCGAGGCAAGCAGATCACCTGAGGTCAGGAGTTCGAGACCAGCCTGGCCAGTGTGGTGGATCCCCGTCTCTACTGTAATTACAAAAAAAAAGTAGTCGGGCATGGTGGTGCACGCCTGTAATCCCAGCTACTTGGGTGGCTGAGGCAGGCGAATCGCTTGAACCCAGGAGATGAAGGTTGCAGTGAGCCGAGATGGCGCCACTGCACTCCAGCCTGGGCAACACAGTGAGACACCACCAAAAAAAAAAAAAAAAAGAGGTAATTTTTTTTCCACTTATTCCACTTCAGGGTCCTAGGTGTCCAGAACCTATCCCTACAGCTTGGGGTGCAAGGCAGGAACCAGCCCTGGACTGAATGCCATCCCATCTCGGGGTGACACACACACACACACACACACACACACTCAGACTGGGACCACGTAGACATACTGATTAACCTAATGTACACCTCTTTGGGATGTGGGAGGAAACTGGAGCACTTGGAGAAAACCCACACAGACATGAAGAGGAACACAAACTCCACACGGACAATGGCCCCAGGCTAAGATTTCATTTTTTTCTTATCAACATTATAACAAAGCGACATTGAGCACAAAGACATTATTTGAGGACCTGCTGTACTATGTACTTAGAGAGATAGGCATTCTATTGTGAGTTTGTTTTTTTTCTCCCTTCTTAAAGGAAGGTTAAATTGTATCTGAGATAGCTCTTGAAATTGATCAGGGGTTCAAGCTGACTTGCATACTCTTTGGGAAAGAATTTAGAAGAATGTGTATGAGGAAGTTCTTCCTATGGTTAAGCCTATTTCCTGACTTGAATGGATGAATCAAATTTTTTTACTATTCTGGAAGCATTGCATCCTGGAAAGAACCATACTATGTTATCTCAGTCTACCTCACTCCATTGTAGGCACTTGGAAGCGGAAGTTGTGATTTCTCCAAAATTAGACAGCTGATTTTCAGTGGTGTTAGAACTAAAACCATTGCCTGTCTTTGAAGCCACCAGTCCTCTGCTGTCCTCCTTTGCAAAGCCATTTTTCCCTTTTTTTTTTTTTTTTTTGAGACAGAGTTTCGCTCTTGTTGCTTAAGCTGGAGTGCAGTGGCGCAATCTCAGCTCACTACAACCTCTGTCTTCTGGGTTCAAGCCATTCTCCTGCCTTAGCCTCCTGAGTAGCTGGGATTACAGGCGCCCACCACCACACCCAGCTAAGAAGAAGAAGAAGTAGTAGTAGTAGTAGTAGTAGTAGTAGTAGTAGTAGTAGTAGTGGTAGTAGTAGTAGTACAGACGGGGTTTCACCATGTTGGCCAGGCCGGTCTTGAACTCCTGACCTCAGGTGATCCTCCCACGTTGGCCTCCCAAAGTTCTGGGATTACAGACATGAGCCACTGCACCCAGCCCATTTTTCTGTATTTTTAAATAAAGATGTGAGCAGCCTAACGCAAGATTGCAACATGTGATTCAATACAGCCATGGCTAATTCATATAACTCAGCATTTTATGCTTTACTAAGATTAAAATGATGTGATAACATTAAATTTTGAATTACAGTTGATGTTTTTTTATTTAAAAAAATTTTTCTTAGTTAAATAATACATGATGGTTTAAAAATCAAATATTCAGTGCAGTTCTTCTAAAATCTCTGCAGGTGTGGGGGTCATTTAATTGATGAGCCTCCCATCCTCTTAGCTTTCCATTCTGAGCTTTCAAGAGATGATGGCAGCTGGCAAGACAATTTTGTCTGGGAAAGCCATTGTTAACAGAGCAGAACTGGGGACGGAGCAGCCATAGCCCACCCTCCAGAGTAGGCACAAATCAGACCTGAACGTTATCACAAAGTCCAAGTTGGCTCAGACCTTTATGTTAAATCATAATAAATATTTTAGAGAACTTTGTTGCAAATTTACATTTGATCTCAGTCCACAAGCTTATAAACCACATGGGTGTGGGGGGTCTTATTTAGTATTGCGAACAGCTGGGTCCTGTATCTGAAGTTCTTGCCCTGCAGCCTGGGTGTTTGTTGTAGTTCTGTACCATCTGCCTTGGTTGATAAGGCATTTTGGAGGCCACTGATTTTAGGCAGCAGTGTTGTTAGGATACTGAAACAGCAGGATGTTCGTGGATTGAGCCTTTTCAGCTGAATCTTCTGGCCAGTTCTTTCTGGCTGTGTGAAGTTGTGATGACTTCAGAGCAGGATGCTCATGTTGCCTGCTGGGCTCTGTTAGGGTGGCCAGATGTGCTTGTAGCAAGCCTTACTGCCAGAGGAACGTACGTTGGCCTCCAAAGCCCAGTGCTGCCGCCAGTTGCTGTGCAGCAAGGCTAGCCCCAAACCTGATTTGCTGCAAGGATTAGCTCAACTCTAGTGACATTTGTTGTGTTTTCTCATGTCCCAAATCACAGCCAAAAAAAAAATCTAGGGTTGACATTTTAAAAAAAGTGAACCCTAGAGATGTAGGGAATTGTTTAACAGGACCTTAGAAATGTATTCATCAGAGTATGAGGGAAAAGATTAAAGATGGTAGATGGAAAACCATAAAAGCTGAGAGGAAGGCAGCACTGGGCCTAGAGTCGCTTGGCTTCCCTCTAGCTAGTAAATAACCAGGACCAAATCACCTGATCCTTCTGAACTTCAGTTTCTGTCGCCATGAAATGAGAGATTGGGTCCAGGATCAATGTAAATTATCAATTTAACATTTCCCTTTATTGATATTATTCCCCCCTGGGTTTGATAATTTAGTTATAATTCTTCATGCAGCTTTAGGTTGAGTAAGTTTGGTGGGAAACAGTAGCTCTCTTCATATATTTAAGAGATGTCATTTGAGAGGGGTAGATTTATTCAGGTTAGCGTCAAGAAGCAGAAATGGGACCAATGGTAGAAGCTACTAAACGGAGGTTTGGCTCTAAATGAGAAAACTATCTTTAGAGTGCCTCTCCTAGTTTAGATGAAAAAAAATTGCATCGAGTTCTAACCATGCTAGTCATCGGGAATTTTATTAATAACACATAGCTCCTGTCCTGGGATGGCTCATGGTTTGATGGGGGTAAGATGGAAAGAATTGGGCAGATGTGGTTTATGTCTTAGCAGTAGAGCCCACAGAGTACGTTGGGAGTGAGGGGTAAGAGAAATCACATACCTCCTAGGTTTTTAGCATTTTCCAAAACAAAGAAAATGGGTAGAGGCATGGACAGTGACTTATATTTAGATGCGTTAAGATGGTTGTAACTTCTTGACATCTCAGCAGGATAACAAGTAGGCAGCCATGTTGTGTAATGGAAATTCCATAGCTGTAGCCTTTACTGATGTACTCCGCAATGGTCTCTTCCAGCCTCCGAAAATGATTTGCTGAACAAACGCCTGAAGCTCGATTACGAAGAAATTACTCCCTGTCTTAAAGAAGTAACTACAGTGTGGGAAAAGATGCTTAGCACTCCAGGAAGATCAAAAATTAAGTTTGATATGGAAAAAATGCACTCGGCTGTTGGGCAAGGTAAGCTTCATTGGGAAGCATCTAGTCAACCTCACCCCTCATTGGCGATTGGGGAGAAGTGTGGAATAAAAAAATTTTAAGTCTAATTTTAGTGGCCATCTCCCTTCTTTTCATCACATCTTAATCTATTTCCAGATACCTTACTTAATAGACATGAGTTTTACCACCTTTCATGGTTCCTCTTAATTAAAATTCCCAGAAGGCCAGGAAATAGGAAGACAGGAACACCCAAGGGCTTCATTACCTATAAACTGGATAATGATTTGATGATATACTTTGAATTATAAACTAGAAACGAATTGTATGGCTTGTCTCTGGGTATTCTAGGGAGACAACATAGTGTGTGGAGCACAGACTTCAGACAGGTGGTTTTGGGCTTAAATCTCAGCCCTGCCACTTACTTTGCCTCACCTTCTCTGAGCTCCAGTTTCCACAAGTGTACGATGTGGGTGCTGACAGTGGATGTTGTGAGGAGCACACAACATGTGTCTGCTATATTGTAAGGCCTTAGAGAGCGGGCAGGATTCACTGGTTTTTCAGTGAGATCTGCCATCCCAAACTGTTTCTGGTCCAAGAAGACATAAGTACAGAACTTGAGACTAAGTATTTGGAAATGTTTCCATGTTTCCAGCAATTTGACACAGTGATCCTAATTTAGAATGTGGACTTACATTTTGTCCATCTGTTTTTTTTTATTTTGTTTTTCTACTAATTTATTTTTACTGTATTGTATAAAAATATTAGCCTGTAGTAGATTGGAAAATTTTTAAAAAGAAAAAAAATTGATGCTTCACAGATAGTTTGAGAACCGCTATTTTGGAGCTTACCTTCAGTCATTATTAGTGTTCTAGTCAAACAATGATTCCTTTAAAAATATATGTTAATGTCTTCTGGCAAGAGTAAAAGCCTGAGTCTAATCTGATTCTGCGCTACTGAGTTCTTGTTGAGCTCATCATGAATAACCAGGTGTTTTGAATAAGGGTTTCAAATATGTATAGAATGGGTTTTTCCTGACTTTATCAGTTGTATAGTGGAAAAACATTGTATATGCTTTTTTTTTTTTTTTTTTTGAGATGGAGTTTCACTCTTGTTGCCCAGGCTGGAGTGCAATGGGGCGATCTTGGCTCACTGCAACCCCTGCCTGCCAGGTTCAAGCTATTCTCCTGCCTCAGCCTCCTGAGTAGCTGGGATTACAGGCGCCTGCCACCACGCCTGGCTAATTTTTTGTGTTTTTAGTAGAGATGGGTTTTCACCCTGTTGGCAAGGCTGGTCTCGAACTCCGGACCTCAGGTGATCCACCCACCTCGGCCTCCCAAAGTGCTGGGATTCCAGGTGTGAGCCACTGCGCCCGGCCTGCATATGCATTTTTCATCTCTAGGAGCATTAATGGAACAAAGCAGTGTTTTCTACTATAGTCTTTTAGGCATTTTTAACCCTTTTTGAATTTTGACGTCAATTTTAGTAATCATGGGTAGCTATTGTTCGTTACACCTTTTCCCTTTCTATGGATAAGGAAACTTGGGCTTAGAGCAGTTGAGTAGTGGCTCAGGGCCACAGAGCTGGGTTCACGCCACTGTACTGCACTGCCTCCTGTTGAACAGGATCTCCAGGTGCTTTTCTCAGAACATGCATGCAGTGCTGAAGACCGAAGCTCTGGACTGACAGCGGCTTTCAGTGTGACTTTGGCAGGTACCCTCTTTCTGGGCTCTTGCCTCCTTGCTGATAGAATGAGAGACTTTCACCGAGCAGAGGATCTTGGAGCTCTCTTCCAGTTCTAGTGTTCCTTGCACCTGTACTTGTTTCTTGAGGTTTACCTTTACACCAAATGACCCCAAATTGCTGTTTTGAAAAGGGAGAAGCAGAGAAAAGAATGAGTCTGTTCTTCCCCCGTTCACAGTTGCCGAGATGATCGCCTTCAGGTGTCTTTGCTTCTGCGAAAGGCAGATTGCCTGGGTCTGTGACAGCTATTCCAAATATTTGAGCTTCTTAGAAGCCTGGCACCTGGATATTTGTTTTTCACTGGGCATCTTATGTGGGGGCTAATAGAAATACTCTAGGAATCTGGACCCTGGGTAGTGAAAGTTGGGCACAGATGATTGAGCATTCTGTCTACTGGAGTGAGCTAAGGCTGACCTGGAATTTCCTTATGTATTGCCTGACTTTGCCACATCACTTTTTACTGCAGAAGCTCTAACCATAAAGGGGACTTTGTCCGTCAGGTGGTTTTTAACACATGAAGATTTAAGAACTCCAAACAAATGACGGCGGGCGGTCTGTTTAGTGGCTCAGAATGAAAATGTGAATCTAAAAATGTGAGACTAAATTTGAATCACATCTTTGACCTTTGAAGTAGAGGCCAACTCAGCTCAGAGACCTTGAAAGAGAGGACAGTTGTTTGGATTAAGAGGCCCTTCCTCATAGTGACATAAAAGACCCTGAAATGATAGAAATAAAGGAATTTACAAAATTTTCCCAGTTAAAATTGGGTAAGGGGCCAGGATTAGGGTATCGATTTAGGAGAAGATAACATAATCCCATGACATTATAGATAATTCAGTTTAGTTCACGTCAGAATGATTTCTCTAAAGATAACTGGATAGAACCTTATAAGCTGGAATGTATTTTTTAGGAATGGGATTGCAGAGTGGCTGCCTGAGCTGCTGATAGGCAGGGCCAGATGCAAACTCTGCTTGCCTTTGACCCGGCAATGCCATTTATAGAAACTTACTGTAGAAACTAATCAGCCAAAAGTGTACTGCAGTAAGAAGAATGCTTATTGTGGCATTGTTTAATAGTCAAAACAAAACGAAAAACCCAACCATGTGACTATCCCGTGTCATATTCCTTGAAAAAGACACCGTAAGTAGATCTGTATTTACTGATGTAAAACATGGCTGAGATAAGTTGTTAAATGAAGAGAGTACAGCATGGTCTCTGGTACAGTTGATATTTCCATGTGTGTATACGTGGAAAAACACCCATGATGCAGGTATCCGGGTTATAGGCAGGATGACCATAGAGCCCAGTTCACCTGGCATAGCCCTCGTTTATGACTCGTGTCCTGGCAAAATTATTAATAGCCTTCCTCCTCTTCACTTTCAAAAGCTTCCTGCTTTGGATGGTAAATATATGCTCATTCTAGTTATGGGTAGTTTTTCACTTCTTTATACCTCTTGCATTTCAGAAGTTTTTTTTGTCCCACTTTTAAACAGTGTATATTATTTCTTAAGTGAGTAAGAAGCTATTTTCATGGAGGATGGAGAAACGGCCTCCTGCCCACCCAGACCCTGCCTGCAAGCCCTAGGTGGGCTCGTTTCTCTTGGGTTAGGAGTGAGGGCAGCACCACGGTGGAGGGGGTGTTCCAGGCCATTCTTAGCAAAAACATTGGGTCCAACCTACATGATCCTGTGCTTTAAATCACAAAATCTAAACATACTCCTGAATACCACAATATCTGGTACTGTCCAGTGACACAGCCAATATTCTTTTCTTCCAAAAATTAAAGGTCTGATAAGACAATGAGAATGATTTAGTAATAGGAAATTGGACATTTCATAACTTGGGAAAATTTCCCAGTTTGAGAAAAAGTATTTTGTGAAAAAAAGCCCCACTATAAATCACTTATCATGCTGACTGTTTTCTAGCCCACATTTACTTCTCATCAGCGTTTGAAGTATTTGTGGGTAGGGTGTGCATGTGTGTGTATGGTCCCAGGATATATCTATGAGCTGGAATAGCAGAGAGGGAGACAAGAAATAGAATAATAGTAGAAAGCAGATATCAGGGTATATTTTTTTCCTGTTCCTACCGTAACAAGTTACTACAAAAATGGTGACTAAAACAACAGAAGTTCTTCTCTCAGTGTTCTGGAGGCCATAGCTCCAAAACCATGCTGTCAGCCTGTCTGCACTTGGCCTCCTCCAGCTTCCTAGACTTGTGGCCACGGCACTCCAGCTTCTGCCTCCTTGGTCACATTGATTCCCTTTCTCATCTCCTCCTCTGCGTGTCTATTATAAGGATGCTTGTCACTGGATATAGGGCCCACCTGGATAGTCCAGGATGCTTTCCTCCTCCCAACGTCCTTATTTAATTCTTTCTGCAAAGAAGGTAACATTTACAAGAAGCTCCAGGTATTAGGAAGTGAACACATCTTTTTTGAGGGGCCACCATTCAACTCAGTCTACAGGGTCACTATATTAATGCTGAGATAAAATTATAGAATGTATAGGATGTGGTCATGGTTGACAGGGGCCCTGTATTTCTTCTACAGGGCAACTTTAAAAAAAAAAACAACCTGATATTTGAAAGGGAAAGAAGAAAGTACTTACTACACAGTAAGTATTTCTAAGAGGTGGCCCAGTGAGACTTTTGAATCTGTTAATAAAATGATTACTATTTGGTTCAAATCCACAGATAGTTATTTTATCATTAATCGCAAGATAGGAACACAAAATATTTTTTCTCTAGTCCCCATTTGAGTAGCAGCCTTGTTTGACATTTCTGACATGGAGAACACCAAGAGAAAATGGCAGTCAGCATTCCTGGGCTGTCACTCACTGGCCTAATGACCTGGGGCAAGGGACCTGTTCTTACTGCCTCCCTTTTCTTTACCATGAAGATAATCATGTTTCCCTTAGAAGGTTATGAGGATGATATGACCAATATACGTAATGTGCGTGGAATGGTGATGGTGCATAGTGGCCTCGCAGTAAGTGCTATCTGCTGCTACCTTGCCAGAGCAGAAACTTCTCCCAAAGGTGGCCAGAGACGGAAACCAGAGAAACCGTCCTCCTGGGCAGGCTGTTTGAGTGGCAGGGCAGGGTACAAAGCGGCCACTTTTTTTTCCGGATGGAAAGAAAGGTCAATGCCTAACTCGGAGGCTTCCTTTCTCCCAAGAGACGAGAAAGACTTGGCATTTTATTCTTCAGTCTTCTTGCTCTCCCCATTTCTACCTTTTTGGCCTTGTAATAGCTGAGTAATGAGCTAAAGAATTTTGGTTCAAAACTGTCACCTTTTAAAATTAGATTTGCCCTAAATAACATCCTTGACTTTAAGAGAACTTTTTAAAGTTTTAGACATTTTCAATCACTGTGAGTATTCAAATTAATCACATATAAAGCATTAGGTAGAGGCTCTTGGACATTTTCTGCTTTTAGAGCTTTGTTGGATGCTCACATGGCAACATCTATGCAGTCACTTCCTACCCAGCCTCTGGGCCCTTCTTGCAGCTTATCTTGCAGAAAGAAGCCTCATCAGAATTCCAGAATCTCAGCTATGATTAGCTTACTCCACCTCAGCTCAGAAACATGCATGGTTCCCTGGGGCTACCAAACACGCAGGTTTCATGCGGTCAATTTTGTCTCTGACAATAACCTTTCCAGCCTTCTTGCCAGCTGCTCTCTTCCACGTGCACGTTTGTGCCTGAGGCAAACTGAATCACTCTCGGTTCCTTCTCTCTGGTTGCACTTTTCTCTTCCTTTTCCCTCGTCCTTAAGGCTTGGTTCAAACTGATTGCTCAGTTCGAAATGAGCAAACAATTGCAAGGACAGAAAACCAAACACCGCATGTTCTCACTCATAGGTGGGAATTGAACAGTGAGAACACTTGGACACAGGGAAGGGAACGGCACACACTGGGGCCTGTCGTGGGGTCAGGGGAGGGGGAAGGGATAACAGGAGATATACCTAATGTAAATGACGAGTTAATGGGTGCAGCACACCAACATGGCACATGTATACATATGTAACAAACCTGCATGTTGTGCACATGTACCCTAGAACTTAAAGTATAATTAAAAAAAAAAAAAAAAGAGCCAGCTTATCTTTCATCTGAGCTCTACTTCCTTTTGTTTCTCTCTTGTTTCTGAGATCACATCTTACATGACAGTTTTTCATACTTGGCCTTATTTCCCTAGAATGTCATTAATTGGCACCAGGTTGGAGCTCAGGTCATATTCTTTATTCCTTGCAGAGTCTGACAGGGTCAGAACATGATAACACATTTGAGAAGTGAGAAGAAAGGAGGGAGGGGCAGGGAAGTGAGGGGAGAATAGGGGGTGGAAGTAGGGGAAGAAGCAAATAGGACAAAGTTTTAGTTGCCTCCTTTCTGTTCCTATGCTGTTAATTAATAATGAAACTAGTGGCCAGACACGATGGCTTATCCCTGTAATCCCAGGACTTTGGAGGCTGAGGCAGGAGTATCCCTTGAGCAATCAGGAGTTTGAGACAAGCCTGGACAGCATAGTGAGACCCTGTCTCTACAAAAATAAAAAATTAGCCAGGCATGGTGGTGGGCACCTATGATTTCAGCTACTCGGGAGCTGAGGTGGGAGGATCATTCGAGCCCAGGTGGTTGAAGCTGCAGTGAGATGTGAGTGTGCCTCTGCACTCCAGCTTGGATGACAAAACCAGACTCTGTCTCAAAAAAAAAAGGGGAACGTGAATTTAGATAAATGGAACTTGAAACAATTCATTTTTATTATTAAGTTGTATTCTGTGCATAAATTATCTCCATATCTTCTCCCCCTTTTAAAGGTGTGCCACGTCATCACCGAGGTGAAATCTGGAAATTTCTAGCTGAGCAATTCCACCTTAAACACCAGTTTCCCAGCAAACAGCAGCCAAAGGATGTGCCATACAAAGAACTCTTAAAGCAGTTGACTTCCCAGCAGCATGCAATTCTTATTGACCTTGGTAAGTCTGTGCCATCGATTGGAGATGACAATGGAAGTTTCACTCACATGAAAAATCTGAAGAGAGTGTCTAAGTTATTTATTGACCTGCCTTTAGGTTTAGCAATCAAAATTTACTACTGAGACTTTTAATTTAAAAAGCCCTAGGGTAATCACAAATGTCGTCTTCAAGCATATAAAAATCTCTGTATTTTCACTGGGTAGCTTGTTAACTTTGCTTGGCGTGAAGGGAGGGTGTTCATTAAAGCTGCAGTCATAATTGTGGCTCAGTCCAGTAACTCAAATATTGATAGGAGTTTTTATAGTCAACTGAAGGAACATCCTGGAAAACGTATGGATGTTCAGAACCGAGGCTTGGTTTAATTACAGGAGCCACTCCCTCGTTTTTACTACTTAAAAACAGAATTCATCGGAAAAACTGTAGAAAGCAGTTTGTGTGTGTGCCTTAGATGATTTTATTTTGGAAACTGGGTGGCACCTTGTCTCTTGAATAATTTATAAAATATGAAGATGGGAACAATGTACAATCAGCCTTCCATATCTATGGGTTCTGAATTTGGGGACTCAACCAACCTCAGATGGAAAGTATTTGGGAAGAAAAATCAATGAAAACTAAACAATAATATAGATTTTAAAATATAGTAACTGTCTATGTAGGATTTACGTTGTATTAGGTGTTATAAGTAATCTAGAGATGATTTAAAGTATGTGGGAGGATGTGGCTGGGCGCGGCGACTCACACCTATAATCCCAGCACTTTGGGAGGCTGAGGCAGGTGGATCACGAGGTCAGGAGAGCGAGAGCATCCTGGCTAACACGGTGAAACCCTGTCTCTACTAAAAATACAAAAAAATTAGCCAGGCATGGTGGCAGGCACCTGTGGTCCCAGCTATTCAGGAGCCTGAGGCAGGAGAATGGCGTGAACCCGGGAGGCGGAGCTTGCAGTGAGCCAAGATCGTGCCACTGCACTCCAGCCTGGGCGACAGAGCAAGACTCTGTCTCAAAAAAAAAGGGGAACGTGAATTTAGATAAATGGAACATGAAACAATTCATTTTTATTATTAAGTTGTATTCTGTGCATAAATTATCTCCATATCTTCTCCCCCTTTTAAAGGTGTGCCACGTC